GCTACTCTCCGAAGGCTACTGCTGCTGCTACTCTCCGAAGACTACTGCTGCTGCTACTCTCCAAAGACTACTGCTGCTGCTACTCTCCAAAGACTACTGCTGCTGCTACTCTCCGAAGGCTACTGCTGCTGCTACTCTCCAAAGGCTACTGCTGCTGCTACTCTCCGAAGGCTACTGCTGCTGCTACTCTCCGAAGGCTACTGCTGCTGCTACTCTCCGAAGGCTACTGCTGCTGCTACTCTCCGAAGGCTACTGCTGCTGCTACTCTCCGAAGGCTACTGCTGCTGCTACTCTCCGAAGGCTACTGCTGCTGCTACTCTCCAAAGGCTACTGCTGCTGCTACTCTCCGAAGGCTACTGCTGCTGCTACTCTCCGAAGGCTACTGCTGCTGCTACTCTCCGAAGGCTACTGCTGCTGCTACTCTCCGAAGGCTACTGCTGCTGCTACTCTCCAAAGGCTACTGCTGCTGCTACTCTCCGAAGGCTACTGCTGCTGCTACTCTCCAAAGACTACTGCCCTTACCGTAAGACAGTCGCTTATGTACCATTCCCAGCAGGCAAATTATGATCGAGTAAAGTCGAATGTCCATTGAATCAGTATTGAATCTTTGTATCCATTACCGTCGTTTACCTGGAGTGTTCTAAGCCTCTTGTATCCGTCTTTTGCCAGGGTGCGTCATTCATATTTCCCAGCGGGCCAAAATATCCAAGAGTAACGTTAATTCAGCGTCGAATTCAACGCAGAATCGACCTTTAATCTTGGATATTGTATTCACTAGCGTTAAAGTGACGATCATTTGTGAATGTGGATTGAATGCTTGCTTTTATTTCTGTCTGATGACTGTTTTATGATCGGTCTTATTTATATTTTTTCTTGCATTTTTTGGGTTATTTCCCTTTGTCGCTCTCTCCTGCAGCAACCCTTGTTGAACCAGTCTCTTGTTGATACAGCACAGTTGTCTACGTCCTCGGCTGACAATCTAGAGACATGGGTTCAATCCCCGGGCAGGACAGCAACGGTTAGGTACGTTTAATATCACCATTCACCTAATAATCCTAATAATTCCTAATAAATCCTAATAATTTCACCTAATAATTTACTGTGCACTAATTCACTCCTTTTTTCGAACACTGTTTATGTAGGACAGACGTAAATCTGTGTATTTATGTCTGTAGGTCAGATTTGCATTTTAAAAGCACCCCACAATCATCTTCTGTGGTTGATTGTTCAATAAATCACTGAACTATATGATTAACAGATCTCTAATCCTGTCCATGGAGGACAGAAGAAAATGTATATAGGCTGGTTAGCGTTGTAAATGTCTGGCCACGTTTGTGGTAGAAAAATAATAATAAAAAAGCTCCTTTTTCTGTCATCCTTCTCTCCCGCCTCCATATTGTACATGATTTTTACAAATATTACTTCAGTTTTTATATTCTCTTATCAGGCTTTGTTTACGTTTGAAAGACCACATCCGGGTTTGTTTCATCTTCTCATCTTCAAGTTATACAAATCTGAGCTGATATCAATATTTAGATACAGCATTTACAAAGACTTTTTCCATGTTTTTTGTCTTTTCATTATATTTTATCACTATTATATATTAGAGAAGGCCAACTAAACAAAGACAAAATTACTAAAGAAGGCTTTGCTTGTTCAATGAGATACTGTAGATATGAGGGTCCTCTCAGATACTTGTAAATTTTCCATTAAATCTCACCTCATTATGGTTAGCGTCCTCTTCCTCATGGGTAGCATTCTCGTCCTCATGGGTAGCGTCCTCTTCCTCATGGGTAATGTTCTCTTCCTCATGGGTAGCGTCCTCTTCCTCATAGGTAGCATTCTCGTCCTCATGGGTAGCGTCCTCTTCCTCATAGGTAGCGTCCTCTTCCATACGGGCCATTTCCACATAACTTCTCTACCCAATCCATCAGATTTGTCACATCAGACTTCTCAGTGTTGAACCCCTCGAATGCCTTTTCATTCTTCAATCTTTTTTGTCCCTACATGACCCCACACGTCCCCACGGACTGCCTGTCTACACAAGGCGCACCGTGATAAACAGTTCTCTTAATGTTGGCTTCGTTTACTGATGCACTTTACAGCTGCTGGAACACCACGAACACGCTTCCACACACCTTAACCTGCCTGGTTAGCATTGTAAATGTGTGGCCACGTTTGTGGTAGAAAAAAAAACACCTTAACCTGCGCCGTTATGACCTGCCAACACTGTGTGTGTGTGTGTAATTAAAAACAAACATATATGAAGCAGGAAAACTTGCCCAATAAGTTTTCCCTTAACACGAGGCTTTTTCAACTTAATAGTCCAATTTGTAAAAGCCAGAAGAAAACCCCCAACATTTCGTGAAACACTCGCCCACCAGTTGTTTTAATAGTCTACCCGCGCAATACTGTGTTTCAGCAAAACACAAATTCACTAGTAATTCCAGTGAAAAAAATTTAATGACATATTTTCAACATTCAATTAAGTGAATCCCACTTCGCTGCCGCCAATATTAAAAAAAAATGATATTAAACAAAAAATGCATCACTTCACAGAGTTTTGTATAATTTGCATTCAAATGAGAGCTTAATCCTCGACATCAGGTTTGGCGTGGGCTGGCAGGCTTGTTTATATGTGTGTAATCTAATCAAAATACGTCATTATATATATATATATATATATATATATATATATATATATATATATATATATATATATATATATATATATATATATATCAGAGAGCCAGGGATTGAGATATAAAGGTGGAGAAAGGGAAAGATACGGATACAGAGATAGAGAGAAGGAAAGAGCGAGACAAAACTCTTCCTTAATGAGTTTTCTTGCAGTGTTCCTAACACCTGACGTTATCCAAGTCACGTTGCTTGGAGTATGAAGAAGAGGAACATGACAAACAACCAATTGACCCATACGAGGCAGCTTCTATTTATAATATCCGAGCAAATTCAGTACTATTTTGTCCAACGCTTGAAATAACCCAACCATCCCACGCCAACTGAGTGAACCGGTAATTTGTTCAATAAATCAACAACACTATTTGCAAAACCCACTATTTGCCCAGTTTTTTTTTTCCCGAATTCAAACTAAGGCAATTGATAGCTATCGTTACCACTAGTTAGTACTAAGCTTCTTAATTTATACTTAATAAAGTTGATGGTTTTGCAGCGATTGCTGATATTATAGTAAATACTGTTGGACTCCCCCTGCAGCCCACTCCACCCCCCCCCAGGGCTGGGGGCAATACCCCCCTCCCCAGGGCTGGGGGCAACACCCCCCCCCTCCCCAGGGCTGGGGGACAACACCCTCCTCCCCAGGGCTGCGGGGAACCTAACCAACAACCTTGTGTCATATGTCGCTTTGAATGGCTACAACACTGCCCTCGAATCTTAAAATTGAACAAGAGTCGCTCCTCCTCACACTGAGGTCGTATGAGGGAAGTCTTTCCCGACCATCAAGTCCCACAGTGAAGGTCGTTACAAACACGAAGGGCGTTGAAGCTCCGGCTGCTGGCTGAAGCCTCGGCACTGAGAATTCCGAATTCTACCGGGAATCAATTTCGAGGAGCTGAAAGAGCGCGCGTCTATTTATAACTCTGGTTGGTGCGCCATCAATAATGGAAAGGTAGCTATACTTCACTGTGACGAAACAGACGTAGCAAGCTGCTCTTTTGTGTGTGTGTGTGTGTGTGTGTGTGTGTGTGTGTGTGTGTGTGTGTGTGTGTGTGTGTGTGTGTGTATGTATGTGTGTGTGTGTGTGTGTGTGTGTGTGTGTGTGTGTGTGTGTGTGTGTGTGTGTGTGTGTGTGTGCGTGCGTGTGTGTGTGTGCGTGTGTGTGTGTGTGTACATGCGCGCTCATCTAATTGTGTTTGCGGGGGTTGAGCTTCGGTTCTTTGGTCTCACCTCCCAACTGTCACTTAGCCTATGGGGCCGTATACAGCTACACTTGAAACTGTGTATGAAGTCTGCATCCAATAATGACATTCATACACCGACACTAAAATTAAGTATACTAAATAAATTTAGTATCTGACAAGCATGTCTCCCTTAACACTTCTGTCTTCCAGAAGTTTGAATGGTTTTGGTTAAGCACTTTCAATTGGACGCGTCATATCGTTAGAACGAACTAACTGGAACAGTTTGCGTTTGACGATAGCTTGCAAAAGTTGTGGACCAACGTAAGCAAAGAAATAGCTTCAACGAATTCTATAACATTGAAACTGAGAAAATAAAAAAAAATGCAACGGGTTTCTCAGAAAAATGCTCATTTCTTTTCAATTTTGCCCCGAGGGGCGAGTTTATTGGGCAGCGCCACTCATCTTGTGAGTGGACACACCGCCATAGCAGCATGTACAACACTCCTCAATAGGAAGAAAACCAGTTGGGTTGTTCAAACTGTTCATCTACTTTAGCCGATGTACGCCAAAATCTACTCCACACATAATATACTATTACAGCAATAGTCAGCCATCCAAATAGGCTGAACCGTTCAAGCTCTAGAGTTACAATAGTCTTTGAATTAGTAAATCTGAGACTGACAAATTTCCCAAAACAGCAGATTCTCGTGCTTTGTTCTACCGCTCAACACACGCACTAAATATACATTTTCAATACACAGAGCAATCCCATTATCGTGACATATATCAATAAGAAGATGAACAGGAGCCGTGATTTTTTTTCTTATCCATCTTCAAAAGTGAGTGTGTGTGTAATTCCGATAGGATATCTATACCTCTTTATTACATACATACAAGTAATAATAATTGGGTCTCTTTGTCCTTAACGAGTTAAAAATAATGATTTCGGCTGCCGACGTTAAGTCAGTGAGGTTCAGGGGTAATGCGCGTAGCTGGGATCGACCCAGGACGCTGGGTCGATTCCTGCCCTGCTACAAATTATTTTATCAATAATAATAATAAAGCAAATACAAAAAGTCTCATACACAGAAAAAAAAGACAAAAATAACAATGAACTCGTACCTTTGTGGTGTTGGATTCCAGTGAGGATTCTTGCAGGTTTCACGTGTGTTCAGATCCCATGCCTTGACGTGTTTACATCTCAAGACTCACGTGTTCACATCTCCCTCTCGAGGGTAGGGGGGGGGGGCAACACGTACACCTGCAGGGGGCAGAGTAATGAATGAACACGTGTAAAGGCTCGTGGTAAATATTATCACTAGATATATAGACCATCTGCGTGAGGACCATCTCTAGAGGAAAGGGAGGAGGGAGGGGATGGGTAAGGGTTGGACGGGAGAATGGGGAGAGGAGAGAATGGGAAGAGGAGAGAATGGGGAGAGAATGGGGAGGGGAGAGAATAGGGGAGTGGAGAAATGAGAGTGTAGGTCTTTAATGTAAGCCACTTGGCCGTGTTCAGAATCTACTTCGTTAACGCCAAATTTTGACTTCATTATTCAGTATAATTTTCATTGAGATTAATTAACGTCCGTATACAACATACAACTATTGTATCCAGTAAGTAATCACCGTAACAAGTTACTTTGTATATTACATAAATTATTATGATTATTATTAATAAGAGGAAGGAGGCCCAGGCTTAGCTCCCGGGCCCCCTGCCATCTCCTGATGGCTGCTGGGCATGTAAGAACAACAAAACAAAGGACAGTAGAAAGCGAAAGACAAATTTAACTGCTAAATTGTGTGACCAAAGTGGGTTGTGTGGGAAGGGAAGGGAATTATCAGAGGGGTAAAGCGCCAAGCCATTACGACTATACAGCCCTGGGAAGGGGTCAGGATAAGGATTTGGGATGGGATGGAGGGAAGGAATGGTGCCCAACCACTTGTGGATGCTCGGGGATTGAACGCCGACCTGCATAAAGCGAGACCGTCGCTCTACCGTCCAGCTCAAGTGGTTGGACGGGTTGTGAGGGAGGCGCAGCGTGGGTTCTAGTCATTCCCGAGGCCATTTGAAAAGGGCCCCCCCTCTCCACGTTTGCCTTTTCATTGGACAATTTCATCAACATAAAGAGGGGGGACCTGCTGCATGGGTAACAGCTTCTTCTCCAGATCGACCTACCCTGGCTTTGCGCCCTGGAGAGGCCACTCCAGACCGACAACTAGAGCGCAACTCTTTAGTCTCCCGAGTGCCGAATGCCTTCAATAAAATACAATTCTTGAACAAACTCCCTATGATCATATCAAAAGTTAAATTTTCTCAAGACAAATATTACATAATGTTATTGTGTAAATGTTATTGTCTACGTATATTGGATGTGTTGATAATGTTTGTGTTTACATTTGCTCTTTTGAGTTGCTGTCGTCCCCAAATGCTCATTCCTTACTTTACTGTTTTCTGTAACTAAAAATTATATGTTCTAAAATATAAGTTACCTTTATAATATATATTAGAGTTTTGGGTATACTGTTTTCTGTAACTAAAAATTATATGTTCTAAAATATAAGTTACCTTTATAATATATATTAGAGTTTTGGGTATAGGTTGAGGGGAAACTAAATGGTAAACGCTTAATTAAGATGAGGTATGAACAGGCAAAGCTCTGAGCCTGCTAATAGGAGTCAGAAGTCGTACTCACCTGCTTTAAAAAACAACTTGTCCCCTGGCCAGGCTCGTTAAAGCAGCGGCCGCCTCCCAAGACGCATTCATAATTGTTTACGTATTGTGCATAACAAGTTTGTTCTCATATATAAAGTAATATTATTACACATTAAAGCTCCATGTATAGTTAGACGTAGGTTAGGTTAGATGGTTAGGTTGTGTTGGGTTTTATGAAACATTTACAGCGTTGTGATTAGAACAGAGGACGTCAGGGAAGCGCAATGTTCGAATGTCATCATTTGCGAGTCACATGTAAACCGTTTTTCCATTAAAAAAAGGGGTTGGAATGGGTGGGGGGGGGGGGGTTTGACGACTGGATTGACGAACATTTGACCGTTGTTGATGAGGACGGGCCGGTGAAAAAAATTTGCATTGACAGATGTGCTTCGAAGGCAGTAAATGAATGAAATACTGCTCGATAAATGCTTGAACACAATCACATGCGAGTCATGTAAAGTGTTCTTCATTCATAAACCTTCATCAAATGAATGAATGTTCATGCATTCATTCATCCTTCAGCCCAAGCAATATGTCAAATACTGACATACGTCGAGCTTAATAAGTCAGTATATGACTAATTCAGCATATAATGAATCTCTCACACACTATAATAATAAACTTGTTTCTCAAATATAAAATGACATTATATAGAGTTATGCACAGGTAAGTCTAGGTGAGGTTATGTAAGGAAATTTGCTTATGTTGATTCAGAATGTGTTTACAGTCTAGCCTGGATGTGAACAAAGCGCGTCTCGAGTCGTAGCTTCGAACGGGGTGTGGTGGACAGCTCACCCTCATCAACAAACACCAAAAGCTCGTTAATCCAGCCGCCAAACCTCGTGTTTATGAATGCAAAACACTTTACAAATGACTCAACTGATGACGTATGTATATTTCTCGAGCAGTGCATCGGTTCACGTCCCCGTGTTCGAATCCCACCTCTTTAAATGCTTCATCCGGGTACTGGGTACTGCAAATATCAATAATGGCCAACAGAACCTAACCACCTAACCTAAATTTGGGATAACTAATCAACGCATTTTTTTTGCATGTAATAAATTTGATAAAATTTATTATATACCTTATATTTGAGGAAATATAAATGTTGAATACGTAATATATTAACATTTATGACTGCGTCTTGTGGGCTCGGCCGCCGCTTGGACGAGCCTAGCCTGAGGCCACTGGACGAGCCTAGCCTGAGGTCACTGGACGAGCCTAGCCTGAGGCCACTGGACGAGCCTAGCCTGAGGCCACTGGACGAGCCTAGCCTGAGGTCACTGGACGAGCCTAGCCTGAGGCCACTGGACGAGCCTAGCCTGAGGCCACTGGACGAGCCTAGCCTGAGGCCACTGGACGAGCCTAGCCTGAGGCCACTGGACGAGCCTAGCCTGAGGCCACTGGACGAGCCTAGCCTGAGGCCACTGGACGAGCCTAGCCTGAGGTCACTGGACGAGCCTAGCCTGAGGCCACTGGACGAGCCTAGCCTGAGGCCACTGGACGAGCCTAGCCTGAGGCCACTGGACGAGCCTAGCCTGAGGCCACTGGACGAGCCTAGCCTGAGGACAGGTTGCAGGTGGACTAAAAAGTCAAATACCGGTTTGTGTACACTATCAATAAGACTGTATTTGGCTCAGTGATGTGAACCCGACGGCTCTTTTGTTTGATGATGGGTTGATATGTAGGCGTGGGGGGGGGGGAGCCGAGGTTCATTCATTCAGGTGGTTCGCCTTAATGAACCGAGAGAGAGAGAGAGAGAGAGAGAGAGAGAGAGAGAGAGAGAGAGAGAGAGAGAGAGAGAGAGAGAGAGAGAGAGAGAGAGAGAGAGAGAGAGAGAGAGAGAGAGAACTGACTCTCTATCTACTCATCCTTACGAAGCTCAGCCAACCACGTCAATACCAGCTGCCTGTGCCACATACGACACCCCCCTCCTTCCCCCCCCCACAGCCTGCTTCAGTGCCACCCCCCCCCATCTACTTCAGTGCCGGCTCCAGGCACTAGTTCAGTGCCACTTATCTGCCTCGTAACTGAGCTATTAATTAACTGCATCAAAGTTAATCAACCAGCCACCACATTTGCTGGGTATTCTTGAATTACATCACAAACGTTATCTTGAGGTTATCTTGAGATGATTTCGGGGCTTTAGTGTCCCCGCGGCCCGGTCCTCGACCAGGCCTCCACCCCCAGGAAGCAGCCCGTGACAGCTGACTAACACCCAGGTACCTATTTTACTGCTAGGTAACAGGGGCATTCAGGGTGAAAGAAACTTTGCCCATTTGTTTCTGCCTCGTGCTGGAATCGAACCCGCGCCACAGAATTACGAGTCCTGCGCGCTATCCACCAGGCTACGAGGCACCCAAGTACGCTCACCCAGTCATAAAACGTTTGCAGACAACGTTTTATGACTGGGTGAGCGTACTTGGCAGGACGTACTCCAGCCGTTGTGGAGCAAAAGTGACATCAAACTAACGGATTAAGTGCGTGTATATGTTAGCAAACACCCGTCGCATTTGTTTTTTTTAGTTTTGTTTCCAAGTATTGTCGCGAATTTAATGAAATATTTAGGCATAAAATAAAGGGACAAATTGTGGATGGTGGTGTGTGCGTAGGAGGGGGGGGGGGGGGGGGGTGTGGACGGTGGTGTGTGCGTGGGAGGGGGGGGTGTGGACGGTGGTGTGTGCGTGGGAGGGATGTGTGGACGGTGGTGTGTGCGTGGGAGGGGGTGTGGACGCTGGTGTGTGAGTGGGAGGGGTGTGTGGACGGTGGTGTGTGCGTGGGAGGGGGGTGTGGACGCTGGTGTGTGCGTGGGAGGGGGGTGTGGACGCTGGTGTGTGCGTGGGAGGGGGTGTGGACGCTGGTGTGTGAGTGGGAGGGGTGTGTGGACGGTGGTGGGTGCGTGGGAGGGGGTATGGATGCTGGTGTGTGCGTGGGAGGGGGGGAGTGCGAAGTTTGGCGCCTAAGCCCATGTAGATGAACATGGGGTAGGCCTAATAAATGAAATCTTGCAGATAACTTATTCAAACCAATACGGAACCCACACAATGTAAATGTATGTAGTCCTATATGAATATAACACCATATACACATACATTAAGCGTCCGGTATACACATACACTGAGCGTCCCATATTTAAAGTTTATTATCAGCGGCATATGTGAGACTGGTCAATATAAGAACTTTTTTTCAAAATTTGTGTAAGGAATCATTCAAAAGCTTATGTCTAAAGCTTAATCGTGGCGGACGCGGCTCCATGTCTAGTCATAGACAAAACAAAGAAAAGGTTCAGAGGTATGCCACCAGACTAGTCCCAGAACTACGAGGTATGAGTTACGAGGAAAGGCTACATGAATTGAACCTCACGTCGCGGGAGGACAGAAGAGTTAGGGGGAGACATGACTGCCACATACAAAATTCTCAGAGGAATTGATAAAGTAAAGAGAAGCAGACCATTTAGCACAGGTGATATTTGCATAAGATAACACAGGTGAAAACTGAATACCCAACAGAGCCAGAGACACTAGAAATAACGTTTTAACTGTCAAGGCAATTAACAACTGGAATGCATTAGTAAGTGATGTGGTTATCTTGAGATTATCTTGAGATGATTTCAGGGCTTTTAGTGTCCCCTCGGCCCGGTCCTCGACCAGACCTCCACCCCAAGGAAGCAGCCCGTGACAGCTGACTAACTCACAGGTACCAATTTTACTGCTAGGTAACAGGGGCATAGGGTGAAAGAAACTCTGGCCATTGTTTCTTGCCGGCGCCCGGGACCACAGGATCACAAGTCCAGTGTGCTGTCCGCTCGGCCGACCGGCTCCCTTGTGGTGGAGATAGATTCCATACATTTTTTACATCTTGATATGATAGAGCCCAATAGCCTCTGGAATCTTTACACCAAATGATTGCCAGTTGAGATACAGAAGCACTAAGACGAAACTCAAACCTCCACAAAACAGGATTAGGCCAGAACAGTTAGGTAAGAACACACACTAAGCGTTCCGTATACATTAGACGTCCCGTAAACACACACACACATTAGACGTCTCGTAAACACACACACACATTAGACGTCTCGTAAACACACACACACTAGACATCTCGTAAACTCACACACACTAGACGTCTCGTAAACACACACACACTAGACATCTCGTAAGCTCACACACACTAGACGTCTCGTAAATACACACACATTAGACGTCTTGTAAACACACACACACACTAGACGTCCCGTATAGACACACACATTGGAAGTCTCATAAACACACACACACTAGACGTCCCGTACACACACACACACACACACACACTAGACGTCCCGTATACACGCAAGGCGTAGCAGTATAGTCAATAAGCATATCAAACGCCACACGCACGTATAATATAAGCGAAACAAGGAGATAACCTCTAAGAAAACACACGCTGAGGCGAGGCCAGCTCACCAGCGTTGCAGGTCCCGGCGTGAGTTGCGTTGACACTACGAGAGGGTTCGTGTGGATAGTGAAGCGACGATAAGAGAGGTGTGTCAATTAGGCAGTCAGGTGGGAGGGGGTTGGGAGCACAGCCCATCACACACACCCGTCGCCTACCGCTGCTCCAAGCACACTGAGCCTTCCTGCATTCCCTCCTCGCCTTATCGCCCGTCGGATTTCCTTGGGGTTGATAAAGTTTTTTTTTTAGGTTTTCGTTTATTCGTTTTTTTTCTATAATAAAAAGCCTCCTCGATTTGAAAAATAAATGCCGTATAGATAGTCCTCGCCTTAACGAGACGGGAAACAAGTGTTAGATCGTTTATATGTGATGAATCTGGTGTTATAAGGTGGTTTACAGGGCCTTGTTGCGCACACACGCCAGAGGCGGGGCGGTGGCTGCTCACAAGGAGACTTAAAGACGTAGCTGGTTGTGGTTAAACATTCCGCAGCGACGAACTCGGAGCTCTCTTGACAATTTGGTAAATACTTAAATTATAAAACAAAATATTATGTCATAGCACATACAGTCATCATTCAGACTAGCGAGCTGAAGCTCAGGAGCTTCCAGGAGCTGAAGCTCAACCCTGTAAACTCTGTTATTAATACAAACAATAAATACAGCTTCAAGAGTCATATTCCAAAGATTATAGGGAAATGAGACACTACGAGCACAGCTCTCATACTGTAAATACAATTAGGTAATGACTCTATTTAAACAATAAGTCACAATAACGTGGGTGACATTGTTTATTTTCAGATTAGTGGGTTGGGTATCTCTCTCTCTCTCTCTCTCTCTCTCTCTCTCTCTCTCTCTCTCTCTCTCTCTCTCTCTCTCTCTCTCTCTCTCTCTCTCTCTCTCTCTCTCTCTCTCTCTCTCTCTCTCTCTCTCTCTCTCTCGGTCTTCACAAGAGAGAAAGAGAAGCCAGCACTGAGAAAGGGGCTATCAAATCAGTCGACGTTGGAGAATATTGAAATTGTCAAGAACGATCAATTAATTGATATATAATAATAATCCTTGAACTGTAACAAAGACGACATTGTGCTGCATAAAAACAAGAAGATAACAAACAAAATAAGAGTTCAGAGGCAAAATGGAATATATATATAGAATGGAGATATATAAAATAAATCCCATAAATCATCAACAGAACAAGAGTAAGTGAACAGTATTCATCACCCATTTACACAACCACTTACGAAGCCTGTAGATCTTTTCTCAATTATGGTGACTTTGTTTACATTTAGTAAACACTTAATGAACTCCGAAGTCCTGGGAGGTTGTTAATCATAATAACAAACTTAGGTTGTGAAATTATGCAGCTCGTAAACTGTTTGATAAATGTAAACAACGCCGCCATGATTAAGGTTAAGACGCACAGACGTCGTAAGTGGTTGCGTAAATGCTTGATAAATCTTAGTCCAAGTTGACCCGCATGAACCCACCACAACACGGACAGTAGTGCAGCCAGTCCTCATCAACAAAGCCCAAATGCTCGTTCATCCAGCCGCTAAATCCCTGTTTATGAATGAAAAACATTTTACACATGCCTCATCTAAACTATCTTCAAGCCGGGCTCGTTAAAGCTGCGGCCGTTCCCCAAAACCCATTCATCAATTTTAACGTATTGTGTATTAAAATACAATTTTTTCTCACTTATATATTAATATTATTATATATTTAAGTACCTTATCCTGATCCCTTCCAGGTGCTATATAGTCGTAATGGCTTGGCGCTTTCCCCTGATAAATCGCTCCTTCTATGTAGTTAGGCAAAGGTTAGGTTTGGTATGTAGGTTTTGTTAGCAATTATTTGTATTTTAAGAACGTGGGTGAAGCATTTACAGAGTTGACCAGACCACACACTAGAAGGTGAAGGGACGACGACGTTTCGGTCCGTCCTGGACCATTCTCAAGTCGATTGTCCCTTCACCTTTCAGTGTGTGGTCTGGTCAACATACTTTAGCCACGTTATTGTGATTCATCGCCAGCATTTACAGAGCTGGGATTCGAACAGAGGTCGTCAGTCGAAAAATGCTCTAATATCATCAGTTGAGAGTCGCGTGTAAACCGGGGTTCATTCATAAACACGAGGATTGCCAGCTGGATTAAAAGCATTTGGCCTTTGTTGATGACGACTGCTGATGAATTACCACCAACCCGTCCTCATGCCAGGCTCATCAGAGCGGCGGCCGTCCACATCCCAGAAGCATTCATCAATTTTAACATACTGTGTATTAAAACTTGGTTTGTTCTCAAATAAGTTAATATTATTGTATATTAAATTTCTATGTAAAGTTAGTCGTAAGTTATGTTAGGCGTTTGGGTTCTGTTGGCGATAATTTTTATTTGAAGTACGTGCGTGAAGTATTTACATCGTTGCAGTTCGAACAGAGGTCTTCAATGAAGCACTGTTCGAGAAATAATCGAACGACGTTGTAAGTCGTGTATAAACCGTTTCTCATTCATGAACAGGGGGGGGGGGGGGGGGTTGGCGGTTGGATTAACCAACATTTAGTCTTTGTTTATGAGGACTGGCTGGTCGCACCACTGATGACGTTCGAACGGACGTTCTCTGTTTCAACCCTTCACTCTCGTACTAAAAATCACAATAATAACCTAAAAATACAAATAATTACCAACAGAACCCAAACATCAACAATCAGATTTATTCCTAACTATACACCAAATTGTAATATGTAATGTTTATATACGATTTCTGACGTAGCACTATGCACACAAGGAGACCTGGGAGAGGACAAGTGAACATCAATTGTCAAGTTGTTCATCCAGACCTAGGGGAAAGGGGGGTTAAGGGTGTTAAGTGGAACAGATATGAGGAGCTCCTTGGACCACAGTTTTATAGTGTTCAACTTCATAGATGAGCTGCGAGAGAAGACTAGGATGCCTAACAGGTCCAAGGGGAAATTGACCTTTTGTGCCCTCTGTAATGCTTTTGCGGACAAGCAAGACGAACAGCCCGCCTGCTTTCAATCCACTCACTGTATTTCCCACTTCTAAACTTCCCTTCACCTATGCCTCTCCTTCCTCTTTACTTCCCCCCCCCCCAAAAAAAAAAAATGCTTTTGCGCTACCGCTCACAGGATGAGTGTAGCGTGCACAATAAACTAGCCGCCTCCGGCGACAACAATCAAAATCCAGGGGCGAGGCAGAGTGTGAAATGTCATTAGCATATAAAGGGAACTCGCGAAAACTGTGAAGGCTGTAGAGGTGGTGGGCATATGCCGTGCAGACCAGGATAATCACTTTACAACCCACTTGAACTGCTGAGATAACCAGACAGGTGACGGTGGAAAATATGGCGAGGGCTAAGTAAAGACAATATGGTTATCAAAGAAGCGAGGCATGCTTGATGAACATGATTCAGTAGGAGAGAGAGAGAAAAGGGTGAGAGGATTGTATCTTTTTAGACTCGACACTGTACTGAACAATACTAATTCAAAAGCCGGCTGTTATAAGTGGGAAGATGCTGGACTGGATTAAAAAATTATCTAAGAGAAGAGAGAGGCGTAGTGAGAGTATGTATCAGGGAGGAAGGGAGTGGTAAGTGGGGTCCTGCAGGGCTTGGAGCTTGAACCTCATGGAGAAGGAAAGGGTCACACATGACAATGTTTACAAATTCTCAGAACTAAGAAGCACTCGAGCTTCTACAAGAGACCCAAGACACACTACAGGTATGGGCGGGCAAATGGCTTCACGAGTTTAATCCCAAGAGATGCAAAGTGATGAGGTTTGAGAGATGGAAAAGGAGACCAAAAGAACAATACTCGTGGGAGACACTTCAAAGAATCAAGAGAGGAAAAGTGTTTACATGTCACGCCAGCCTTAACATCTGAGGCCGACATGAGCAAAATAACATTAATATCATACATACGACCATTCTCGTATACAGAGACGAGTAGTAAACAAATGGAATGTTATCCAGAGAGAAATAGCCGAAGCAACTGCCATTAACAGCATCAAGAGCAATTATGGCCGAGATATTGAACGCTAGGATGAATGCCTGTTCAAGATACCACTTAGTTAACAAGAGGGACGTGTGAGCTTAATCTCGTTCTCGGTAAAACAATAGGTTTACACATAACACACACACACACACACACACACACACACACACACACACACACACACACACACACACACACACACACACACACACACACACACACACACACACACACACACACACACACACACACACACACACACACACACACACACACACACACACACACACACACACACACACACACACACACACACACACACACACACCACACACACACACACACACACACACACACACACACACACACACACACACACACACACACAAGCATGCATGACGTTGATGCTTTTTATAGCAAGCCAGTTATTCTAATTTATGACTGAAAACTGTATGGTTGGTAATGATGGCGTGTGTGTGTGGGGCGGTGGGTAGTGGTGATGATGGTGGTGGTGGTGGTGGTGGTGGTGTTTGTGGTGGTAGTGATGGTGGTGGTTGTGGTGACAATGGTGCTGCATATTTATATTTATCTTCACAAATGTGCACATATATGTGTATCTTCACTATTTTGTACTCGTGTTCCCTAAATAATGTGTACAATTGTATACAATGATTAATGTTCATATGTGTGTGATTTCACTAATATATATATATAGATATGTGTGTCTAAGAGAGATAAAAAGAGGACAGAATATTCCCTTTCCAGCCTTCCCTCTCCACTCTTTTGTACTCTTCCTTGTACTTCCCAGTTCCGCCTCTATAATAATCTTTCCTCCTTTCTATTACCCTCTCTTCCGTTATCTTTACCCCACTTTTATTTTATATTGTTAATTCTCTACTTTTGACTTCATTTTCTCCAATATTTACGCTAAAATCTAACGTTTGTACCCTTTGTAACCTTCTGCCCTGCCCATTTTACCCTTTTCAATTATGTATCTATTTACTCTTACTTCTGTCTTTTACTCCCTTTCTGATGCTCAGTTGTTTACATATTGTTCCGTCTAACATTTTTATTTTGGACTATCTTTTCTGCGTCGTCTGTTGACCCTATAGTCCGTATACTGTCAATATCTCCCTGTCCGTCGCTTCTTAGGTCAGTATCTCCCTGTCTGTCGCTTCTTAGGATAGTATCTCCCTGTCTGTCGCTTCTTAGGAT